CTTCCATCTGCTTTGCATCGGAAATGAGTGGACACCAGCCAGAGGGATACAATTAAATACATTTTGAGGAAGTGTGGAAGCGTGACATTGGAGTGAAATGTGTAGTATGCCGGAGATAAAGATAGAAAAAGGTTTGTGGAACATGCTGTAACACGCTTGTAATGCACAGGATAGAGTGGTATTGCTTTTGGGAAAAAGTGTCCAATTTCTCCGGGGAATTGCGTCGTGAGAAGCATCAGCGGGTGCTGAGCCCTGCTGCAGATACTGGAGCGGAACAATGAGGCAAACAGCTAAATTACAGGCCTATGTTGATGCTGTCAGACACGCAGAGAGATTCACTTATTTTTATGCAAAGCGAACGTTGCTAAGCTATAATTGATCCGTCCAAATCTCAGCATTTGAACAAACTTTGTTTACAGCGGCATGTTTTCAAAAGCCTCAAAAGAAACGTTCCCTGTGGAGTTACAGCCCTGGTTTAGGTTCACTGCAGACTTTTGTCCTTCAACAAGATTGTGTTGTTTATTTATCTGCCATCATTGTAATTGAAATGTAGCCTCACTCTCTTTCTTTTGGGATTGCCTCAGATTCTCACAGATTTCCTCACCCTTTTATCCCACTCTGGGTCTTTCGGGCCCAAAGTGTGAAGTTCTTGGAGCTTCCTGAAATTGAATTGGCAGAAGATTTCTGGCTGCTGTGACTCTTCGGCTGTAACAGTCGGTCCCCAAAGCGTGGCAGAAGCAAAAGAGTCTTTTTAATATGTTTTCTCATCACACTTCCTGGTGGGACAGCTGACTGAGCTCATTTGAATATATGTGACTCTATTCCACTGCATCTGAATATAAACATAAGCCCTCCCTTGTTCATATTTTGAACGATTTCGCAAATTAAAAACAATCATATACAGAAACTGGAACTGATATTTTTCCCCAAGGAGGGATTGCATTTAGAGTGAGCTGATTTTTCTTTTTTTTATATGCACATTATATTCTCCTTTCACAAGTACTGTGGAGTCTGACAAAACCCCAACATGCCTCATTAGAGTTCATTGTTGATGTTGTTTTGCTCCTGCGGGTGAAGATTGTAATGAGCTGTCCACATCTCCCAGTCAGCACTGGGCCACCTGTGTGTGGGAGGCCGCTTCACACAAACACAATATCCCTCTGATTTAAAGTATTGTACATTTTACATAAAAGATAAAGAAGAAATCTGATGATGAAGTATTTTTATTCATCAGGAAATAATTAAAATCATGAAACATTGTGGGAAATCAATGAAAGACTCAGTGAGAGAGACATTTTAGGCAATCATACAAAATACAGTATAACATTGCTTCATATGTCCTGTAGAGAATGAATGCATGGAAGATTGCCATCAATCAACCAAAATGAACCTGGACTCCAGAGTGTTAAAGGGAATAGTTATCTCTCAGTTCACATAAGGTCAGCTTCGACCGGCCATTTTGAATACTATACACCAGGGGTCGGCAACCTTTTTGATATGAAGTGCCATTTAAAAAAAAAAATTGATCAGCGTGTCAACGATCGAGAATTATCAACGGGGGGGGGGAGCCTCGCTGAGGGGAAGCATTGTGTGGACCTGTCAGCGCAACTTACATGATGCCGAATTTAACACATTTAAATAATTGGTTTAAACGGCATAATAATAAGGACGTTCGTCCGTTCTGTGATTTTCCAGAGCACACATGTTATGATATTAGGGTCATGCAGAGTGAGATGAGATCGCTGTCCCTTTAAGAGAGAGAGAGAGGGGTGTGGCTTGTGCATGTGTGTTTGTGGATGGTAGAGCGACAGTGAGGGAACGTGTGTATGTTTCTGGAAGTGAAACGAGGAAGCAGAAAAACAGAGGTCTGTGATGTATTTTGTGAAACAGAAGAACAGCTAAATAAATGCAACGGCCTCCCAAGAAGAGCTCGGAGCTCTTCTTGGGAGGCCGTTGCATTTATTTAGCTGTTCTTCTGTTTCACAAAATACATCACAGACCTCTGTTTTTCTGCTTCCTCGTTTCACTTCCANATCGTTTCCCCACGGAGGAAAGCACTTCACTAATTGCAGTACCCAAAAGGAGCTGTACAAATGCCGCAGTTTTTGCGTGGCTGTGTCTTTAGTTGAAAGCCCAGTGGCGATCTGCTCATCTCTCATTGAAATAATATGCTACACAGGGGCATTACATTACATTACATTGCATTTAGCTGACGCTTTTATCCAAAGCGACTTACAATAAGTGCANTTCACTCCGCTGGGGTACTGCTCTCATGTCAAGAAGCATCAGATCAGTGCATGCTCTGCATCGTCCAATCAGTGAGCGATACACAGTAAGGGGGCGGGGCGAGTGTCTGAGGATTTCATCGGAGGATGGTCTGGTGGTTCCTCGATTATAGCTCCTCCATTATCGCTCCTCCATTATCGCTCCTCCGACAAAAATAAGGCCATTGGGACGCTACTCAAGATGGCGCAGACAAATCAACTTCCGGTGAGACCGAGACCGAGGAGCAAGGAAATGAAAAATAAGAGAAGTGAGAAAGGCCCTATGTTTCTGGAAGTGAAACGAGGCAGCAGAAAAACAGAGGTCTCTGATTTATTTTGTGAAACAGAAGAACAGCTAAATAAATGCAACAGCCTCCCAAGAAGAGCTCGCCTCTCTCCAGTCATTTAAGCTAAAGTGGGTTATTGAACCTGAAGCTTGTTGCTTCTGCCCTCCTCGACTACGGTCTGGGAGCCGACAGGGAAGTTCAACACACAGATGGCCAGTCCGCCCCTTTTGTAGCATATTATTTCGATGAGAGATGAGCAGATCGCCACTGGGCTTTCAACTAAATACACAGCCACGCAAAAACTGCGGCATTTGTACAGCTCCTTTTGGGGACTGCAATTAGTGAAGCGCCTCCGTGGTGAAACGATCAGCACTGCACCGCGGAGAAAAGCGGCAGAAAGTCACCTGGAGTTAAAAGAGAGCAGGGCTGCGTTGCGTGCATGGCTTCCTTCTGCAGGTAACGGGGAGACGCGCTCTGGCGGCTGTCTCGTTCAGGATCCGAAAATACAATTTAAATATTTTGCACACTTATTCCACTTATTCCTAGTGTGCCACTGGTTACGGTGCCGCGTGCCAGCCAGCATTGGCTATAGCGTGCCAGCACTGCTATACACTGTATGTGATCAGCGATGTGAAAACTTAGTTTGATGTTTCCTCACTTACATATTCTCAGCAGAGAATCATCTCAACGCTGACGCCTCATCTGGTTTGCTCTGCCAGAAGAATATTAATAAACGTGAAAATGGTAGTGTTAAATATGTGCAGATGTATTCTCATGGCATCAGTCATGTCAGCAGCCTGAAGATTGAGTATTGGTTGTAATGTCACGAGTGAGAAGCAATCTGTTTTTGTAAAGGGTTCAACAAACTAAGCAACAAGTTGTCTCTTTGGTGCTTTATTTCTTTGGAGATGAAGCTGTTGAATTTTGATTGTGGTGTACTGTATGTTGACACATTCAGGGCAGTCAAAGTATATTTTTTTATCATAGAAACCCACTCACGATCTCCATGATGTATCACAGTGTGTGACAGAATGCATTCAGTACAAATTGAAAGTGGAGCAGACATGAGAGGAGGTGTGTCTGTTCTCACAGTTTGACAGCATGTCATATCCAGCAGCTGCAACGTGCCATTACCTGTGTTTGGCCGTCTTTGGGAGCAGAGAGGTACACCTTGTAAATGTTGAATGCGAAATTACAATCCAATCGGCGTCCTTCCGTTTTATAACATTTTATTCCCCCCCCTCGACACACCCTGCCTTGATTTGATGTATGCCGCGCTGCCTGCGGGGCCCAGTCTGCTCGTAAACATGCCTCTCTCTGCATGCTGCTGCAGTTCAAGAGAGGCGCTGAAAGGTGTTGCCATAAATCTTTGATCATTCTGTTGAAAAGCCGACCTTGAATGATGTCAGTGAGTCACATCGCCTCGGTCTCTCCGTCACTCTCGCCTCAAATTGACCTCTTAGCCTCTTAGTGTCTGTTTGTGAGAGAGAAACAGAGTGATGCTTGACTTGTAGCAAATGTCCTCTTGCAAACACGCTCTCCCTGTGGTGACTTATGTTGGTACTTTCGGTCTACTGAAACAACAATAATACTGAGAACACAAACCTGCCAAATATTTGCTGATTTTTGTTTCACAATAAAGAGGATTTGATGCTTTCATTTCCTGATTTATACCATCAACAACTGAAGCAATATATATAATCTACCTGCATGTAACTACTTCTCGTCACACCTATCTTTAAGCAAGCTACTTCTGCAGTAGTGATCATGCTCTCAGGGAGTTAACAATGCACAAATGGAGGCTTTTTTCAATCAATAAATCACTTATCAATTGTGGATCTAAAATATGTATTATAAACATCTCTGTTGGGCTATGTGTTGAGTTATTATAACTGTATCAGACAGCTGCTTGTTTTTAATTGAAAAGAAAATCCAGTAAATAATTGTGCATCTAAATAACTGACAGCTGCAGCATTAGCAGTGACTCTCTTATGTATGTTCGTTGCTCTATTTGTTAATACGTCTCATACAAAATATCCCCCACGATGGCTTGTTTTCATTTTTTGTTCTTGTTCACCAACAGGCTGTGACCAAAGAGACTTCTGAGCTCCTCATTGTGTCGCTGTAGCCTCTGAACAAACCCAACACAATAGACCTTAGCACTGGGACTCTCTCCATACCGAAATGGATTATATAATGAATTAGTCCGAGTTACTGTGTCTTGGTAATGGATTGAAGCTAATGATGCCCAATGTCCAAAAGAGGGATTATTCTAAAGAGGAGAACAATGAAGGCTGCTCCACTGAGGCCGCTAGAGAGAGATGAAGCAAGCTTTGGAGCTCCTCGGCCCACATGGCATTAGAGGAAAGAATAGATTGACTGCCATTAATACTGTGTTCCTGTGTCTTAGCATTTGTGGTTTTAAAACTGTCCTTCTCCTCCATTGCAGCGGTGCAGTCTCTCAACAGCCTGAACGACCAGATTGCTCAGTTCATGGTGACCAGACCCTGCAGCCTGGCTCATGAGGACGAGTCCTTCATGCCGGGAGAGAGGGACACCTTGAGGAAGCCCATGACTCTGATGAGACACCTGCTAATGGACGCTCAGGTACAGCCTCTGCCCTCTTAATTTGAGATGTACCGACACGGTTGAATACACAGCATGTTGATCCCTGAATTACAATGAAACGTTTGCGATAAACACAATCACTTCAACACTGGGAATCGAATACTTATTATCCACAGCTAAATGCAAATACATTTTTATCTTTTATATATATATAATGCACATTTCTGGATTTTCTTTTTGATATTCTTACTCTCACTGCTAAAATAAACCTACCATTAAAATTAACTTTTTTCACCGAGGGGGCTGGGCCACTCACTAGAGGTACACTGCCTCATAAGTTCAGTTATAAGTTAGCAACATCAAATGTAGGTAAATGATGCTTGTGAGTGTTGGCAGCTCATCCCTTAAAACAGAAGCCTCAGATTGATTATAATAAGGAGAAATAGGAAGGGGGTATTTCAAGCTTGTTATGTAAATAAGTCATTGGGCTTTTTTCTTATCAACTAAGATATGTTAGAAAATGTTTCCAACTTGAATTGACTGAATTGATTTGAAAAGTGGTCTCATTAACAAATGAATACTACTTTGTAATATATGTTTACATTTATATTTAGGAAGCACAAGTTTCATTTGTGGGCCATATTCCATTATACTTTTTGAATTTGCTGAGGGCTGATTCAAAATGGTCCGCGGGCCGCATTTGGCCCCCGGGCCGTAGTTTGGTCACCCCTGTTATAGACTGTTCATTTGGGCAAACTTAAGAAATCTGCAAGGGATCAAATACTTATTTCCTCCACTGCAAGTTGGTACTTTTGGTCTTTTTAAAACAACAATAATACTGAGAACACAAACATTTGTTGATTTCTGTGGTTTTACATCTTTGGGAAAACGTTGGCATCCTCATCAGTAATTTTATGAACAAGTGAACGCAGCGTTTTTCCTCAGTCAATCCTCACAATCAATGTGAGATTTGTTTCTGTCAAATAACCTGAATGTAGGTGATTGATACACTCTCTGTCTTTAGGGTAAAAAGCATGTGTCTTTTAGTTTTCTTTAAAAATATATATTTCAAATCTATTCGTCTCTCTGCTCTGCTTCAGAGGAGATGATAACTCATGTTTATAGTGTTGCCCTCATTTGTCCTTTTATTTATATCCCTTCTACATCTTGATGAATGTCAGATGATTCTTGACACAGTGATGCATTTAGGTCATCTATTAGCAACATGGCGGACGTGCATGATGGATATAGATTCCCCACCCGCCACTTTCCTGGAGATATTTTCTCCAACGTGGTGTCATTGATTAAAGGGAAGGTAATTCAGCAAAAGGCTGACGCTTTCACCTCAGTCTGAAAAGATTGTTAGACCGCAGTCAGTTTTGTCCTGTTAGTCAGGAACACAGCATTGGGAGGTGATGGATGAGCGGGAACATCTGCCGCGGATAAAGTGCCGATTATCTCCCCAAGACAAAATAAAAGTTTGCCGGCAGTTCAGAGTTAAGTGAAGCGCTGAGACACGTCAGCATGACAGAGTTCTCTGCCGGTTGGCCTTGTTTGTGTCAGACGGTACATCCACCACCTTTACATGTTCTTCAAGTGTTTTCCTTCAAAGGAGTGGAAGATAGAGGCTTCTGTCGGATGGGGGCCTGTTGCTCTGACAACAGGACTGACAGCTGCTTGATATTGTGTGTGCTCCACAGAGTCTCATGGATTTGGCAGCTTTTTCCAATGTTGATCTTGAGTTGATTTTTTCTACCACATGAGTGCTGTTCACAAACATTGTGTCATACCTCCATGGTTGGAGGTAAGGATATAGTTGCCTGTTGAAGAGATAACTAGTAGCCCAATAATGGAAATTCCTTAACAGCTCAATGTAAACATGTTGCTGTTGTAAACATCTTTAATTTTTCTAAATGAAATATACCTACAAATACATTTATTCTGTTTCTCTGACCATAACAGATCGCTTTTCTTTGGTTCCAAAACCTCACCTTCATTAACCCTAGTGCTGTCACGTTTTGATGTTGCAGTGTTTGCCCTCATTTTTTATCATTTTGGAAGGCCCAGAGAATGAATGTTGCCTCCTGATAAAGGCGTCAGAAATCTCTTCTGTATCTGTGACCTGCGTCTGTGAGAGCATGCAGAAACAGACGATTTGGTCTTTGTATTTAAAGGTTGTTTCCACTTCACTCAGCACTCACACACTTAGGCGGACATTTCTGCTTCTTTTAGACCTTCCATTTAAATGCCGTGTCAACGTCTTTCAGTAATTATAACTCAACTGCCACTTAAACTTTAACTTCATTCAGTATCTCAACAATATGTTAATAGTACATTTTCAGCACCAAACACATACAGTATAAATGTAGCCTTTTTCTTGGTGGTATAGATACAGGTTCAGAGGGTTTTGTTATTTTTAACTTAACTTTGCTTGTTAATGTTGGAAGCTAATGTTAACCAGACATAATATGTTTTGAAGTAATTAATATTCAATCATTTTAGTTGATACTAGATTTGGATGGTTTGTACTTGTCTTTGTACCTAATTTGCCTTCACTGTGATTGAGCTGTCAGGCTCCCTATCATCACTCAGGCTAAAATGGACGGACAGAATAATTGTGGCCGGATTATACATCAGATTTCTTTGTTCTCTGAGTCTCACAGGTCAGAGTAAAGTGTGATCTCATCCCACATAGAGGAGCTCAGCTCATCCAAAAGGGTTTTGCATTAACGGAAAGTGTATCTGCTGTCAGATGGAATATGGAATTAGACCAGCCCTCCTTATCTTCTATTCATTCTTTAATGTCCTGTTTCAAAGAGCCGGCTGTTCCCTGTGCAGTTCAGGCTCTGATGTCCAGCATTTAGTGCCGCTGGGAGGGATGAGACTTGTACTGCTGGTCGGAGAAAACTATCAAAGGCACTATAGTGAGTTATGTCTTTAATTGGAAAACGTTTTCTGAAACAAAATGGTGTAGTTTGTGGAAATCAGGGTGGAAACATAATCTGAGGAATTCAGCATTCAAATTTCCACAACTACAAAAAGACAGAAAATGAATTTAGAGGGGATTTGAACAGCTTCTCTTTGAATGCTTTCCCAGGATTGATTGCCTCATTTGTCATTTGTACAGATGAATTATTTATGTCCCCGTTGCTGTGCTGTGATGACTAATCAAATGCATTTCAGAGGGAGTGGAAGCTGTGAATTGAGGTAGTGGAACGCTGCACTGCATTAGGTCGAAGGAGTCAGCGGGGCGACAATGGTGGCCAGATAACGACATGACAGGGGAGACATGCTCATCATAGGTCTTTAAAACTGCACAGAAAAGTGTCCTTTTGTCATGATTTGATCTACTCTCCCAGGTTAAGAAGAAAACTCTGACTTTAAATAAATAGTTAAAACATCTAAACAAATATTGGATGAATGTATTTGTAACTGTGTGCAGATATCCACTTCAGGCAGATGATAAATAAATACAATATCTGGTAACCCCCGACTTTACATCTACAGTAGTGCCACCAGCGGTTTATCTTCCACATGAATGGCTGTGATATTTTGTAATTAAATTCAATGTTTTTTTTACTTTGGAGATTCCTTAGAGATGTTCTATAAGAACTGGATACTAGAATCCAAAATGGCGGCCATTCACTTGAATAATTTTTCAAGTTTGCTCAGTGCATAAACCAGGAAATGTTTTCCACTTCCTGCTTTGCTTCGGCTACCTGCTGCACATGCATATTAGTTTTCTCTCCCTTGCAATGCTTTTCTAGGCTCTGCGAAAGTTTTACAAATATAAAACCATAATATAAACAGTAATAATTGACGTCTTGTTATCGTCATTTACTGGAAGCTTTCATTTTCACAGTTTAAGTCAAGTGAACCCACCTTGTTTATTTATATTAACATTTATAATGTATACATACACACTCATCATTGCAATGCGCCTTACACCTGACAGCTTATCTTCTTCTTCTGTTTGCAGCCTCAAAGGGGCCTAATTTTCAGAGTCTCCGGGTACAAAAGACAGCTCAGCAACATTTGACAGGAAATAAAACTTTAAAAGTTTCTATGAGTCAGAAATCATATCTGATTGTGGCAGAGCAGTAACCTGCCAGTTTAGCCATTTCAATTACAAAGTTGGCAGGTCTACCTTAATTCATTATTGACCACAGAAGCATTAAAGGAGCAATAAGAGTCTGACTCCAAAGTGAAATAGATTTGGAGGCTAGATTAGTGATCCAGAGGGATTTAGGTTGTGCTGCAGTTGTTAGTGAGAAAATAGATCTGTTGGGATCTAGTGCGTACTAATCTAATAATCTATTTGACACAGAGGGATGGAGAAATAGTGAGAGGAAAAGAAGACAAAGGTGCACCAGGGACTGCAGTAAAACTGTAGCCCCGTCCTGAAATCGATGTATGATTTCTGTTATTTTTATTCAGCCACTTTGAGTCTCAGTGCCTGCAGGAATAGAAGGTTATCGTTTATGAAATCCTCTTTATGTGCAGCTGTCTTTGTTCTGTAAGTATCTCTGGGTGTTTGAACAGAAAGAAACCAAAGCTTTCATCTCATGCCTCGTTTTTTTTTGTTACCCTATTGTATGGAAATCAGTCCAGCCCTAATCCTTTGCATCAATTTTAACGTTACATCCTTTGTGTTGCATTGGGAGCTGAAGTGGGCTGGACTTCAAAGAGCTGGGATTGCTCTTATTTCAACTGCAGTTTCTTATTGTTTAGAGTCAGTTCCCACATTTCCACCTTCAGAAACACCAGGTAATAACAAAAAAAGATTCATACATTTAAAACCATACTGGCCATATCGGAGCTAACTGCAGAGATTTTAAATGTGTCTGTCAAAGCTGATGATGGGGTAGACCTGAGTGATTGTGTTATGACTGCAGATTTATATTTCCTGATATGACAAATGAGATTGTTTTTGCAAATGCTGCGAGACAGCTGGACCACCAGGACCTTATGATTATACCCTCACACAGTTATCTTTCATCCAATCAAATAAATGGTATTTCTGTAAATAAAGGAGGCATCAAACCTTCACTGTGGATATT